AATGAATGCTTAATTAGTGGCTTTGTGAACAGCTACAGTGGTCAAGGGAAAGCTTACAACGCCTGGTGACTGTGAGAAGTCTGAGCGCACGAGGAATAATTAGTGCTGACAGAACATAACTTTATTCGATTCAAAGGGGTGCGGAGGTGGCAAGACAAAGGAAACTGTGTTGTGATGTAATGAATTAGCAATGTTTCCAGCTTCACCCTGTTCTGCTCATGTGAGCTTTTAAGGGTTTACTCTAAACGTCCATAACCTAAAACTCACTTAGTACTGCTTAATGTGAAAATGTCCACAGCTGACTTTGCCTATTAGACTGGACAAGGACAAGAGAAAGCACATTGACACCCGCCCAGTTTTGATAGTCGAATGAACCCGCGTTCTTTGTATCATTTTATTGATCTTCCGTAAAAGAATTCTGCTTTTAATTAAATCTGATTGCTTTCAGTCACCATATCTCTTCGACAGCACAACTAAATTTGTTGCACAGTAACATATACTGTATGTGAAAACAGAGTTGTGTTTCCTTTTGGTGAAGCTCTTTTACCAAGATTTCAAGATTTGCCGTGAGATACGGCTTTAATTATAAGATTAATTATACGATTCAGTATTCGCATTAAAGTCATTTTGGCTGTTGTTAAAAGCAATCTATGGGACAAATGAATTTCAGGATAGCAGTCTGAAAAACAAGTCATTTTTTATTGTTAAATATATTAATAGTCCTATCTCACATTATCAATAGATGTTGGAAAAAAAATTAATTTAACAGTTTTGAGTTTAGTTTAGGTTTGGTTAAACCTTATTAATTAATTAACCTTATTAATATTTAGTTAAACCCTAATAATGCTAAATATTAATTTCGCATTCACTGATGAATAATAAAAGCAGTGTTAATAGCATTAGAGAATCCATTGCCACATACAAGGCACTGTATATTTGTCAGGTCTGAACATGCATGATGAAGAAGGTGGAGTGTTCAGATTGTTCTCCAGTGCATCAAGACAGAGCTAACTAGGTCAATGAAATTCCTTCCCTGGCATCCCCCACGCCAACACAGGCAGGGAGAGATGAAATCTGCTTTCTGCTCTTTCAATTGATTTTTAAGTCAGAAAGCAATAATGACCTGGCTCTGCTGAAAGAACCCTTTGCCACTGACCACAACTTCAACATTTCTTAATTCTGCTGACTGCAGCAACACCCACAGGGTGTCTGTTTCCAGACAGGAGGAAGGTTACTGTCTCCCCGGGAGAGAAAATAAAATGACATCCGTGCTGAAATTACACTGAACTGGATCGGAATACTTTTCTGGCCTGAAACACTACTGGATGTTAAATAGATGAGATGCAATTCACCAAATATATTTTACACTTAACTGATAATTATATACAGTATGTTTGTGGAATGTGTGAAAATGCAACAAAAAGACTCATCATTTATCAAGCAGCAAACTTCGAAAGACAAACAAATTTGTTGAGTTTTATTAATTTTCATTATTCTCAAAAAAACATACTGTATTACTATAATCCTTCCTGTTCCTCCACTACCAAGGATACTGCTTTTAGAATTATTTCATGCTTCAAGGTTTAAAGTTACCAGTGAAAGAATTATAATAGACTATCTCCCTTTCCGAATTCCCTTCCAGAATTAAAAGAATGAGGGAGTTTCAATTTCTGAATTATTACACTTCCTTATATGTTTTAGGTCTTCAGTGTCGCTCATCAATCACAGTATTGTCAATCGTAGTTTTGAACAAAGTATTCATACCACCCTTCTACCCCCATCAGGAAGCTGCTCCTTCGGGTAAATGTTGCAGACAGTTTCCAGGAATACAAGATGCAAGCTGGGACCACGTCCTGAATGGAATATGTCAGTATGATGAAATTCACGTGCCAGCAGCCATACGGAGTGGTGGCACTGTGGCTAAGGATCTGCCGGTTCAAATCCCGCGGCCAGCAGAGGAATCCTACTCTGTTGGGCCCCGGAGCAAGGCCCTTCACCCCAACTGCTGTCTGTCTGTGTCTCATGGAGAGCTAGCTGGGGTATGTGAAAAGACAAATTCCTAATGCAAGAAATTATATATGGCCAATAAAGTGATCTTATCTGATCTTATCTTATCATATCACCCTGCAACTCACATCTGGCAGCCCACTGAAGCTCAGCAGGTCTTTCTTTCTATAGCAGTACATTCAAAGCAGTAGGTGTCTGCTTCTGACCTGTTGACCTGTTTCTGGACTGAACAGTAAACTCTGCTTACATCTGGCTTTTCCCGTCTACAAATGTTTTTTGATTTTTGTGCAATATATGCTGGGGACTTGTGCAATATATTTATATTTATATTTCTAATGTGCAATACAACTTCTTGTGTACTGTTCTGGTTTGTTCTTTGTGTGTTCTGGACAGGGGGTAACTCTTCTTAGTGCACTTCTCACTGACTGTACTGACTGTATTGTATTCCTGTATTATTGTATCATTTCGTTACACTGTGCTGTGTTGACTGTGCTAAGCTGCTGCTGCACTGCAATTTCACTCACGGGATCAATAAAGTATCTATCTTTCTACCTCGCGACAGCATTGATAAAAGGACCATCAGCTGTTACGAAACGGCACTTGGACAAAAAAATAAATCCCCTTTTCTCCTTCCTCTTCCCCAACAGCCCCCAAGCCGGCCATGTCGATTGAGAATAGCCCGGGTGCACAGCTCCGAACAGCTGTTGCTGGTCCCTTAATCCTCACATGGTTTCAAGCTATTCACCCAGCCCACAGCTTTCTGTCTCTCTACAAACACACTGGCTGGGCTCTATTCTTTGGCCCAGCGACCAGACTTGAATCCATGACCTGAGGAATAATGTGCACACACAAAGACGCAGCTGGCTGGGCCAAAGAGCTTTCCTCAGCTGCTCTATATATATTCCTACAACCCTTAGCATTTACATTTCCTGATCACGGAGGAACAAACCCCTCTCAATGCCTTATCTTTTTATGAGCCACCACCAGTAAAAGATAAATTATTAAGCTGGCTTCTCCAGATATCAATGAAAAAGCATAACAATTGGAGAGCAAAGTCTATCTTGCTTTAGTTATTTACTGGGTCTTAAGAAAAACAGACATCCAGCGGACCATGAAAAACAACAAAATCGGGATTCAATTACCAAACTCCATCAGACCAGCAGTATAGCAGTCCTGTTGTGTTTAGTTTGCTTTAAAGAAACTGTTCTGGGATTAATGGGTGAGAGTACAGAGGAGTGTTCTTTGAGATCATTTCACTAAACGTCCTGCTCAAAGTAGCTGTACTGCATTCCTTTCTGTACTCATATGATCATCGGAACATGCCATGTAGTTTCAACAGAAAATGAGATACTAAACCCCTTCCAATTTGTCAAGGCCAGCAAATTAGGAAAATGAAACGGCATATTTCTTAACTTGATCCCTGACAATCAAAAAATAACAAACAAAACTTTTTTTTTTTTACCCCAGACACAGCATTCTGGATTACAGAAAACTGGTGTAAAAAGCACAACTTCCTGCCAATATCAAACAGCCCATTGACATTTCTTCATTTAAAAAGTAAATTAAAAGACTGAAAATTCTTTGATTTAATAAAAAAGCAAGAAATAAGAAAAGCCATGAATGCAAAGCCCAGTTGTGTCTCTTGACAAACCTATGGAAAACTAAAAAAACGAAAACAGTCTGAATTCTTCAGTGCAGTCTCTCTGATATTTACTCTTTTTTTCTGAGTTTCAGACTAACCAACAACAGTTCTGTGCATCTTAGTTCAGTGTTTACATTGTAACGTATTTCTGTTAGATAATATTTCTTCAGAAAATGGTCTGTCTGTTTTGGCAATTTATATTTTAATAGCCACTGCCAAATCAGTTCTTAACAGTGATGACATCACCACTTTCGACGCTTTGTGCTGCTGGTTGCAAGACATTTTTACAACTTCATTCTCAACCCATACATCTCAACTTCACAGTACTATATGCTTCAAAATATTTTATTGCATTAAATATTATAATATTTGAAGCAAAATCATCCTTTAGGATTAGTAAAGAGCATCTGTTCATAAAAAAACTAACAACCCCATCTTGGTAAGAGAGCACAAAAGTTTTGTGTGCCTACTGTAGATCTAGAAACACAGCAAAGATTAGTACAGCAGTTTCCCAGCCTCATTTAAGTGCCTTTATTAGACTTTTTGTTTTGACATTCTTCTGCTGTTGAATGTTTAGACATACATCTAAGTACCTTTCAAAATTACAATTATTTAGGTGCCATTATAGGTGTAACTGACATTTCAATTAATGTCGATAGTTCAGCTGGAATGAAAACCAAATTAGCAGACAACAGGCTGCTCCAGGACCAGGGTTAAAAAATCAGGGTATTGCAAAAAAAGAATCAGTACAGCAGCTAAAATGTATCCTTTTTATATCAAACCAAAAATATAAAAATGACACATACCAAGAGCAATGACATAAGGTATGACATAACACCTGACCTATTAACGAATAGGTGGGATAAGAGTTATTATCTCTTCTTTGACATCATGGGTGTCGTATTCTGGGATGTAATTATTATATCACAGTTATCTTGTGAAAACAGCATAAAATGCACATCTAGCCAATACATGTGTGTTTATATGTGTCTTTTCTACTTTGGCTTCTACCTGTCATTCTGTCCCCTCTCATTAGTTTAATCTGGCCTACATAAACCAGAATAGCTCCTCCTCATTTTGTGACCATCACGCCAACAGGGGCTCACACACAAGCAAACCACAAGCAGCTTCTGTCAGATGCTTAAATTCATTCATTCTTTAAATTTCTCAATGTCACATTTCAATGAATAAGCAATTCCATCTGTATTACACGAGCCCATCTTCTGTGGAACAGGAAAAGTCCAGCCATTTCTGCTGACCCCTGTCACAGTATCCGGGTCTCATGAAATGCACCCATCGACAGTAACAGCACAACGACCAGCTGACCCGCGGGCTCCACAGGTGTACTGACCTCCTTCACCCGCTCAAGCTCGTTCTGTAGCGCCTGCTTGGAAATCTCCACCTCGATGATCTTCTGGCGAAGGAGCTCATTTTCATCCTCTGCCTTCGCCCTCTTGTCTTCCACACTCTCCAGCTCGTGGTGAAGCCGAACCGAGACGTCTTTGGCAACCTGTTCACAAAGCACAAATGCGATTTCCTGACAATTCAGAAATGTTGTATAAGTATGCTGGAAAAACGAACAATTAAAGTTCAGTATGTTAGGCCAGGAATCTTTAGAGATCACTTTATGCCCATGTACAATTTCTTGTATTAGGAATTTGTCTTTTCGCATACCCCAGGTTGCTCTCCATGAGACACACAGATAGGGAGAGAAGCTGGGGGTCAGAGCGCAGGGTCAGCCATTGTACACCACCCCTGGAGCATTTGGGGTTAAAGGCCTTGCTCAGGGACCCAGTGGAATAGGATTCCTCTGCCGGTCGCGGGATTTTAACAGGCAACCTTCCAGCCACAGGCGCAGATCCTGAGCCACAGAGCCACCGCTCCAACTTTAGCTACTATTACAATGAGTTGTAAATTAAACAGCCTCCACAGTGACAATTCAGGATCACTATTTATGATTTCTTTGGTAAAAACCAAACCTTGATGTATCAGCACTGGTCAAGCATGGTTTGAAACTGTGACAATACTGAAATAAAATAGTTTTGATGAGTGGCCATCAAAACTATTTAGACTTTCAATTTTAGAACTTATGAAGATTTAAAACATGTTAATTGTTCACACACTATTTACATTTTACACTTTACGAAAATGCTTCACAAATGTGTTTTCTTAGGGCAGTCAACCCAAACATTCATCTGGTTTATAGAATCATAAAACATCTGTAAAGGGAAACTATGAGAAATGAGAGTGAGACTCATTACACAGTTTACATTTCTATTTTTTGCCAATGGCAAAGATTATCAGAGATGTATTAGACATGTCTACCTGTTTAACACAATTGCAGTTGGTTACTACAGCTCAGTCTGATGTGCTAGTATAAATGTAGAGCAATACACATTTATTTAAATTTTCCATTTTAATTTTCCTTCAAGGGATACGTAAAAATACAGCATATTTAAAGTGACTTTAACCAGACAAAGTACTGTAGGTATTAGAAGCCTTGGATGAAAACCAACCAAAAAAAATCAACTGGATGGCATCTGTGGAAAATGGAAAGGACACTGTGCTCAGACATCTTTTAAACGATGTCTCATTTCCAATTACATTTTGTAGAGTGTACGCATCTCCACAGCAGAACATTTACCACAAGTACTTTGTTCGGGTCAGAGCGTCTCTGTGCATGTTGTGAGCCCAGAAGCGACTGTGATTGAATCCCAACGAGGGCGATGAGCTGCACTCAACACGTTTCTTTTTCCCATTTTCAGTAAGTTGATTCAGTTGATGAATGAATGCAGGCTACAGTATCTGAGGCTGGAGAGACTGCTCAAACCTCCCTCACCTTTACTGGAATGAGCCAGGGAGCTGCTGCAAGGGTGTAGATGGGGAGGTGTGGGGAAGGCAAGAGAGATAAGCGAAGGGAAGCGGAAGTGTGCAAGATTGGGATTTCACCTTCTTTCCCAATATACAATTATCAGTAGATATTCCGCTCCTACAATATACAGATTTTTCTCATTATCAAAGAAATATTGCATACATCACATTGAATGAAACAGGAATCTACATGTAGATACAGGTGTAAAAAATGACTCATTAGAAAAGTAGCTCCTGTTCTAGAGCTACTGTGTTGAACTGAAAACTAGATACTATAGATACGGTCAATGCTAAATGCAATGACAGCCAGTCCTGCCAGCTGGGAAACATACTGTATGATAGCGAGACTATATTCTTAGTCCTTGGCCCCATTTTTAAAATTTTCAATGTTTCTGTTAACACTCACAGAGAAGGGGTTTAGATTACACACAGCATTAATCCATAGGCCATTACACGCTGGAGAACTGAGACAAAAACTCATTTCTAGTCAAAATTTAAATCTGTATTGGTCTCAGTCTGCCCACATGCAATTTATGGCACTTAAAAATATCAACCTCAGAGGTGTTAAATTAGTCATATTCACCCTCCCTGTTCTGGTTTGAGACTGATGATCATTTTTGTATAGATACTCCAAAATAGATACTATAGATACTCTAAAAATATTGCCTCTACTCTGGGGTTGACAGAGGTGGGCAACAAGAAAGATCATGAATTATCAAGAAAGTGTAAAGAACAACAATAACGAAGGGCTTGATGCATTCTTTTTTCTACCAGAACACTCTTCTGAAGATTGCGAACGAGAAAACAAAAGACTCTTAATTAGCTGAGGCGCAGCTTCAGAGCTTGACACAGGTTCCACAGCCAGCTGCGGCCAGGACTCCCCAGGCTAACAAGCTAAGACCAAAGTGGGTTGGGTTAACTGGGTTGAGCCTAACTGCCAGTCGAATGACTGTTTTCACTACAATTCCAAGACTTGGAGAAGAGGAAATGTCAGCTGAAAATGTGAGTCTTAGAACCTGTGATTGCATTTGAATCAGTTCTTTCATGTAAATATGGATTCCAAAAGTAGTTATCATATTATAGTATATCATAATATACTGTAAGTAAGGAATGTTAATTTATGTAGCGGAATTGCAAAGTCCAGAGATTACTAATTAACCCTGACTTTACAATACAAACATGTGACAGGAATTCAGGCAGGTAGAAATGAGTCTGATTTCTTCTGTTAGTTCTTCCAAATGCCTTGATCCATATCATTTCATTGTGCAAACAAACTCAGCCCTTCCATTTACTTTTCCAATCAGACAATCTCCCTATTTTCTCCCTATTATCGCTTGTGAGATCATTTCATAAATTGAGAAAAGGGGAAAGGCCTCGTCCCATTTTAATCTTGTCAGTTAAAATGATATTTAATACAGGCTGTTTGGAAATCTCTCCTATGCACACCCTGTCGATGGTCACAGCACACCACTGTGAAGGAGTCCTCACTTACCTTATGCGGGTATAATTAATAATAATTGCATGTGTTTGTTATTAAGAGAGAAGTGTAGGGAGGCCAAATTGTGCAAGACCAACATGGAATTAAGCCAGCCAGACAAAGAGATTCATACTTCTGCTCTTACAAACGTGTGATCTTTAATGACCACAAGCAGTCGGGAGCTCAGTTTAAACTCTCATCTGGAGGACGCTGTAGGCACCCCCTACAACACAGAACCCTCGGACTCCATGTTGGGGCACTGGGGTTTGAAATTCTTGTCCTCGGGGAAGAGTGACACCTACTGGTCCACTAATACCACTTACAAGGCACAGATTGGATCATTTGTCTCCTTTCCTTTAAAAAATGATGAAGATCTAATAGTTATACTGTGATCACAGCAGCATTGCACAGACCACAGTCCTATTTTTAGAAATAATATATTGAATTCCTGAAAACAAGAGGATTTGATTCACACCTGTAAGATCCCTTTAAATACATTTTCAATGAGTGTGCAGAAGCATGCTGCTCTGTGGAAGTGGAGGGGAGGCCTCCAGAACGATACAGAGGCCTTCAAAGCCGCCCTGTGCTCCAGGGGTGTAAAAGGAGGAGCTGTAACACATGGAGGACATTAACAGTAGCATGTGCCATCACGGTTAAGGTCAGAAAGCTCTTCAAAGACTACAGACAAATGGTCATGGACCTCCACAAGTTGGGGGCCTGGCTATAAAAGAATCCGCAAAAATTATTATTCTGTCATGCAATGTTTCACAGCTCTACCAGCCGTGGTGGAATTCTGGCCATCAGAGAGGACAGTCACAACCCTGGGCATGAGGGCATGAGGGTTCCCTCTTCACCCCACTGCCCTCAGGCAAGAGATACAAGAGCATACGGACACTTACCACTAGATTTTTCAATAGCTTCTACCTATAAGCAGCACGATTGGCAAACACATTTGGCCATGCCCCTCTGACCACGCCTACACCAGCTACCTCATTGTAATTTTATTTATTGCACATCTGTAGTCTTTTTTTACATGTCTGCATTGTTTACATTGGAACTGTTTACTTGTTGACTTGTACATTGTCTACTGTGTGTATGTATATTGTCTTGATGCACTGTCTGCACTTTGTGTTTTACACTTTGTTTTTAACGATCGGGAGACTTCCTGTAAGTAAGAATTCCATTGTACCAGTACATGTACCGGTTACACATGGCAATAAAGTTCAAGTTTCCCATTTCTTTGCGGGTGGAATTTGGAAGGCACTGTAAGTCTGAGTAGCGATATTCATTCTCACATTCAAGTCGGTGATATGACCACAAAGAGCTCACCTTCAGGTCCTGCTCCAGGCTTCTGACCAGCTCCCCGTCCACCTGGCCGGTCTGGGCCACCTTCAGACTCCTCTGCTCCGCCTTGCGCAGCCGGTACTGCAGGATGCGGCAGTTCTTATTGGCTCGGTCCAGCTCCCGCCTCAGCTCCTGGAGCTGGTACACGTCCTCCTCCAGGTAGCTGTCCCTCATCTCCTCCATCTCCGCCCGCAGCTCGTCCACTTCGTCCTGAAAGGTCCACACGGGCTGTTCACCTCACGGAAATGACCTCCCCCCTCCACGGGCCCGAGGCCTGACCCCAGCAGTCCCAGAATTCACACGACTGCAGCTCGATACGAATACCACAGCACTGCCCACTCCTAATCCCTAACCCACTCCCGTCATGCTCTTGAGGACAAATGAAAGAAAATCTCAAATCATACCATGGAAAATAAAAAGAGAACATCTAAGGGTAAGGGGAATAAAATACCCTGTGGATACCTTTATAGCATGATTTATCATTCTGTTTATTATTTTACATTTTATGTGGCTTATATCCACTGCAATTATTTCCCTTTGGTAGTCACAGTTCTCTTGGACCATTCCTCATTTTCTCTCCTTGGAGGGCTTAGTCTGTCTTTATTCGATATGTTCTCAATTCTAGATCGTGACACTAGTGACATCATGGTGCAGCTTTACGCTAAATGTTTTCGCAAGTATTCCTGCTGACTGACTTAATTTCTTTTAAACCAACGTAAGATTAATTCGGCGAATCAAACACAAAGCAGTCAACCCTATGCGGCACACCTCATATAGTCAATTCAGTGAAAACACACTTTCTTTCTCAATGAGAAAAACCGTCACAGAACCTTCCTGCTGAAATAATTTCTCTATACTCTGACATTTATATATTATAATGAGCTGATTTGTCATTGAGGTTATTCTTGATAGGCTGTGGTATGGCACCCTACTGCGGATTAGCTGTTGAAATGTTAAGATCTCTTTCATTGACGTCACATGAGGTCCAGTAGGCTCTGACTTATTATACCCCAACTGCTAAGCTCTCATATTGAAAGCCCAGAGGCGTCAGCATCAATCAGTGTTAATTCCCGCGTGTCTCAGAAGACCTTCAAAAACACACAACAATTTAGAATCTGACTATGACCTGAAGCCGAAATGCTGCAAGGGATGTTTACTCATGAGGAGTCGGATACGTTTCTGAGCAATCAGGAAGAATTCCACATTATAACACTGGATATTTAAGTCTGCTGAATCGTGCTCAGAAATAAACTAATATTAATATATCTGTGCTCCTGCTGTGCTTTTCTTCCACAAAATGTTCTTTTCTCCCAAACCGCCTAGTCAAAGGAAGAGGAAGGACATGTGTGTGTCAACACAACCCTACACTGGGAACCGGTAGGTCTGAGGTGTTTGGATTTACTGCTGTTGCACCAGTTATGTAATGAAAAGCCACTCCTAACTTTGGACCACTGTGTTTGAGAAAAGAACAGCCTTAACAATAATTCCTTCCTGGATTTCTGAGACATTCTTTTTCTTTTAAAATCTTAAAGAAGCAACACATCTTGCTGTGGATATGAGTTTATTGGGGCCATCGCTATGTCAGTCATTAAAAAGCAGTAAATTAAGTTGCCAACTTTTAAATGTGTTAAACACATGTGTTATACTGTATCTGATACATTGAAACCATTTATTTTTTCTACTTTTTTTCTGATCCAAGTGCTGTATACTTACTCTCTATGAATGAGTAATAACCATGGTGTCTGATATAAAACCATACAGTATCTAAAAGCTACATGGAAGTCTCATAATTTTAGTCTGAAGGTGTTTTGCAAATTATACCCATTATATAGCATAAACTGCTAGTGATAGCAGTTTACAATCCCAATTTCACTGGTCACCAGCTAAGAACTGAAATAGAACAATTAATAAACAAGAAAACACAAATAATTCTGCTATGTTTTCAATGATGGAAGTCAGCAACAGGCTGTTTCCAATGAGGAATTACAAAAGATTACATTTCATATTGTAGAGACCTGGCATTGCTCGCTGTAGTTCTCTGTGTGTCAGGGCTTCCTACATAAAGGGAAATTAAGATTAATGGACAGTATGTAATGGAAACCAAATTCATGCTTTATAGCTCCTAAATGGCGGAGTGACTTTTAAAGTGACTTTAGACTTTTTACATTGCCCTACTCTTTTCACTCAATGTTTTATTAGGGGTATAGTATATCCTTCTCTATGCAGAAATATATTTTATGGTGATATACTAAAATTGTATCCAAAATTAAACGGTTAATCCTAATGGATTTGTGTTTTGTAGCACAATAGTTAGCCTTTCAGATTTACGGATGTGCAGAGAAGGACTAACAACGTTAATGACAAGTAACACCTGAAATTGACACAATTAGAAGTGATTAATGCCCTGTGATGGACTGGTGTCCTATCCAGGGTGTATCCTGCCTTGCACCCATTGTTTGCTGGGATAGACCTTGGCTCCCCGTGACCCTGCATCGCATAAAACGGTTAGAAAATGGATGGGCAGAAAATGTGAGGGATTACCTACTGCAGTCTCTACTTTATATTGGCAAAAATTCACGCATAGTTATTGTGATCAAGTGGTTTGTAGATTATATCGTAGATTCTGAACAATGTGAATTCAAGATGAACTATGCTCATAATTCAGCCACAATGATAGTACTGTGAGTACACTGACGATGCTCGTAATGAGTACCGAGATGATGGCTGGTTCAAGCAAGGTGGCAGCTTCAGCCTGAACTACGTTCCCCAGAATGCTGTGGCGGAATTGTCCTGCTGTTCTCAGTCACCTGACCAGTTGCTGGAACAGGAGTGGTCAGGTGACGGTTTAGAACTTTCACAGGCTGGAGCTGCCAAAGCAGAGAGAGAACCAGGAGAGAAGAAAGAATCCTGTGATTCTTCACTAGGACTGGGCGGCTCTGTGATGCAAATTTGAGAAGAGCGCTCACAAGCAGTTATGCAGCTTGTCTGCCTGGTATGTTAGAGGGAGAGATGCAGAAAGAAGTGTAGTCAGTAGCTCAAAGACGAGCTAGGCTTTTGGTTTGTCTTTGTGGTGATTTTGATTTAAACCCCTGCACTATACTCATGCACCAGTTTGTTAACTTACAGCTGCTTTTGTGTCTGCTTTCCTGGGACCCATCTATTAAAAGATTCCCGTGTTTTAACTGGTGATCGTGTCTAAGACTGTAACTCAGCAGTCTACACCATTATCTGCAACCGGTACCCCAGGGCTCGTCCTCAGTGTCTGAAACATAGCAGGTTAGGTCTCTTCGACTTGAAGGTACCTGAAGGTTCTGGAGGAGAGGTACAGGAAACCGGTCCAGTTAAATCTTAATGGAATCAATCTCAATCTTTCCCTACTTTAGGAACTGGTCAAGATTAATTCCAAGCTGAAAGGTAAAGAAAAGAAACTCAACCTGTTACTTTGCAGCCTATGCGTTCTGACACACTCTAGCTACCTACTCCAGAGTCTAAAACTTTTCCTAAGTGAAGATCCATTTATACCTTAAGAAACAAAAGGAAAGCTTCTTAGCCCTAGGGCCTGAAGGCCGGCGTTGGGGAAATATTCTGCTCTCAATGATGCGGAAGATCAAGTCAGTCTTTAAGAGACTAACCAGGGTACTCCTGGCAGTGGCTCTATGCCGACTCTGTGTAGATACCTTACTTGCCACGCTTTCTCCTGATTCTGTCCTGCCACCCATACCTCTTCACACTACATCACAATTTCACGTCTGCTCAGGCCACGTGTACCACAGCACATCAAAGTAAATGGTTTTAAAGGACCAGAAGCAAATTTCAGCGTGACTAATTATTGTGTTTAAGGTTTTACAGAAATATGGTTTTAAGTGACTTTTCAGTATTGCTCATTATGATATGACACAGCATTTTGTGAAGGAAAATATTGGACTGTCAGGCAGACATCATGTGAGGTGAGTGTTCATATTGAATAAATATGAATGATTACTGACTCTTTCCAAATGGGGACAGCTTCTGTTTCAAAGGAGCAACACTTGGGCGAAACTCTGACCACATCTAAACAATTTCCTCTACAATTAGTTATTGCTTCATCAGTACATTAATTGAACAGTACTACTAAGGCATGATTATTGCATAAAAAATAAAATTGTCTCAGAATATCATGTATTATTATGTTTCACTTAATCAGTATAAGAAACCGATGTAAACAGTTTTTAAAATATTGCCAAAGGTGACACAATCTAGTGAGATTACTGTGTCTTTGCTGCAGAGAAAAAACATATGAGTTTGTTTTCCAAGATGAAGTGTCTTTTTCTCTTCTGACTGGCAAGGAAGCTACTATGGATCTCAAAGACTTATCTGATGGCAAAGACACTTAGATTGGCTGAAAATGCAAACAGCTTGCCTTGGACAGGAGACTGAGTGTTCACTGCACTCAGAATCTACTGAACTCATTAACTGGGCTCTATTCTGCCTCCCCTCACAGACAGAGACGTCTGTGACCTTTTGAGCAATACAAATGGTAGGGACAAAGCTGGCTAGTACGACACTACAGAACTGTTGCCATTGTCCTCTATACTACATCTGGAAGTAGCTGACTGTTACCGTGTCTTTGGGGACCTGGCCATTGTGTTGCCAACTGCTACTGTGTATAACCAGTGAAACCAATTATATCACTTGTCCACATAAGAAGGGATGAAGATTAATGTGTTTCTCAAAAGCAAATACGCTTGTCTGAAAACTGAAAACCTGTATTTTTGCTTGGAGCATTCTAATATCATTTCCTAGCCAGCAGAAGAATAAAGCAATTAAAAACCTGGGGTACTGATCACATGCTCCACAATCCAGCAAACATTTGTATAGATCATGCTTGTTATAGTGCACACAACACTAATTCACAAACCACATTGTGTGTGAATTGTCTTGTATATATATGGCCAAAAGCTAGTTTATCTGCAGTTTATCATCTTGATAAAATTATAATTAATTGTATAAAAGTATTAGAGATTCAAGGCATTAAAAACAAGTACGTGCTTCTTAGAAGACCTTATCTCTCCTTCCAGTGGCACAAATACAGTATGTCAAATGACCGAGAGTTTCTTCAGCTATGAAATATGAGCTTAAAAGACATAATGCAAGTATCAGTGCTGCTTTTGTAAGTTTACTGTAAGCACTGCTGCCGGGGAAACAGTCACAGACTATGGGGACAGATGGTGGCATTTAACCATGAAATAACACACTTTCACAAGTACAAACTGTCTGGCCTTTCACGTCATCTGGGGCTTAAGTTACAGGACATAAATTGCGAAACTGTAATTGATAATGCGATTATAAAATTAAAAAAAAAACTTTCCCCACGAATTGCTATATCCATTTTGTAGTGCACACGTGACTGACAATAACATACGACATACGCGCTACACAGCTTCATGTCGGAGCTGGTTCATTTGTATTTGGTCATGTGGAAGGGAAGCTAGCCTGCAGCATTTTTAACTAAATACAGAGTAGCCTTCTGGTACAATAAACGGTTTATACAGGTCAGATTCTGGTTAAAAATGTAAGCGTTTGAAAAAGTCATTTGAGAGCTATATATCTCTATAATTCCGGCTAAATGTAGCTACTAAAATATATATATATACAATACACCATAGCTTGATTCGCCACCTCAACGTCTCCGAGCGACGTTTCTTTTCGTCTCTACAGAGGCCCCAGCATTTCAGCACGCTTTTGGTGTCACCTGTGATGTCCGCATGAAATATCTTACAAGATGCTTGTGAGACGCTATACGCCCATAGCTGTTCACTAGCTGCATAAAAAAAACGTGTTTTCTTGCAGTGCCGGGGCATACATAAAATGCGATCGCGGTGTGGTGGCAAAAATATCAATTTTAAATCTCTGGAGTCACTCGCTAATGTAAAAGGCTACAAGGTTGGATTATCGCCTCGGTTCTATACATATGATCGAAATAGTATTAACATCTGTGTACTGTATGTAGTCGCTTTCCAGACCAATTACGGAAAGCAGCGAAGCGCATGCGAGTCTATTTAGAGTTTCGAGGTGTTACGAGTATTTAAAGGTCCGTAAATACTGTAAGTGAACAAAACGAACTGGGATACTGTGATGGCAACAATAATGACAAACTAGTAACAATCAGTGCTCAAGTAATTAGGGAATTCAGTTATTACAGGCTGCCAGTGGGGGGGAAAGACAACACGAAGAGTAAAGTGAATTGAACTGAGTTTGGTGTAGGCTTCACTGCGCTCTTGAGACGGAAAAAGAAAGCAACAATTCTGTGTTATGCGCCAAAAGGGTTAAAACCAATAGAAAAGCAGATGTCCCTAAGCAGAGCCTAGTAATTGCACTCTCGCTGCAGCGCAACGCATTGCATAGCCTTGGCTTTTTCTGAACACCAACCACACATACAGTACACAGTGTGCTAATATACTGTAATAACAGTGCTGTAGTGCTCGCAGAGGAAAACGCAAAACAGCATCTTCTTAGTCACCCCTAGTTACAATAATGCGTAACTATCCAGGCTGACAAAAAAAAGGAAACAAAAAAGAACATGTAAAGAACTTGATTGCTGCCCAGTTTTAACGCGTAAAGACGATAAGGCCTATATTATTATACGCGCTTACACGGACCACAGAACTTATTCATGTACAGGTTTACACTATGTCTCGTGTTTGGCACATGCGTCAGTTGTGGTACCGCTATTTATTTATTTTTTTTGGCGAACGGTTAGTGTCGACGAATGCCTCCCTCAGTGAGCAGGTGTGTTAAAAACAGTGACACACAAACGCGGTGCTGAAGGGATCCATTCCAACGCATTCGCATTTACCTTGAGATAGTCATTTTCGGAACGCAGGTCCTCGACCTCCCTCAGCAGGTCCTCTTCTATCAACCCCTTGCTGCCCCGCAGCATGAATTCTGTGGGGGTGTTCGGGTGGCCCGGTCTAAAGTCCAGTTTGCCGGGGCTCCTTCCCGGCGGTTCCGTGTCGCCGCACTGTCCTGGAGCAGGTAGCGGGTAGGACACCCTCTCTTTAGCGGGTATCTGGGACACCGAGGCCGGGGGCTCCCCGAGCTGGGGGAGGCTGTGAGCCCTCCCGTAGGTCGCGGCGGCGGCCGCCCCGACAGGCTGGTGATCGCCAGACCCTGGGTCGCGGTCGCTGGACCCGGAGCCGGAGCCGGAGCCGGACTCCGCATCGCTGCTGCCCGCCTGGGTGAGCCTCTGCTCATCCGACAGGGGCTCCGAGGGGCAGTCGGACAGGTCCGAGCTGCTGTCCGTATGGCTGCTCCTCCCCAGCCCGGCTCCTCCTGGGGCGCCGACCGAAGAGCTCTGGCCAGGTGAACCCCGGGGAGCCTCCGCCACGGCGCATCTTTTCTCTTTTTTCCCTTTACCGGAGCTGTGGCCGGCGAGTTTCGGCTCTGTCGTCCCGTGTTGGATGGTCTTAGCTGCCTTTTTGGGTACCGCGGTCTTGGCGGCACTCTTTGCCGGAGCCGATTTGTCTTTGGCGCCGGAGATGCTGCGCCTGGACAGGCGGTTTTGAGATGCCAGGAGCCCTGTTGATTGCTGCTGCTGCTGCTGCTGCTTGCTCGAGAGGTTGGGAGATTTGGGAGGGATGGCCGGGGGTTTGGCAGACGACCGGGAGTGTATATCCTTCAGGAATGGTCTCGCAGGGGAAGGCGCTCTGTTCAGTCTTTTCTTCTCCACTAACTGGTGGTTTTGCGGCTTGCTCTCGTTATTGGTGCCATTTAAACTCTCCATCATCCGCAGACGCGTGTAAGGAATGGTGATGAAAGAAACGACCCGTCCTCTGCCCACACAAATAACCCTTGCAGATCACTTCGGCAATACCGTCCTGTTTTTCCGATTTCATCACTTCGGATTGGTGCGCACCTTGTCAGGCGTTCACATCCCCGCGATGGATTACCTCTGTCGAGTACAAGCACCCCCTTTCTTCATCCTCCCTTTACTCTCCTTGAACCAGTTTAAAGAAAATGCAGCAAGGATAAAAAAAAAAAAACAACCCTGAATTTCCAATCGAAATGACGCGAGTCACCCCCACCTGCCGGGCCACGGGTTTGTCTTCTGTCCGGGTTTAATTCATGTGCAGCCGTGATGCAAGACAGCGATCCCCCCGAACCCCCATTCTGTTACCTCGTCCCCCCCACCCCTCGGACAGTTTCCTCAGCCGTCCACCCCTCTCCGCTCCGGTCTGACATGCAAGATCTGCAAGCGCTGCTGCGGTCCGTCTCTGACGCTTGTGCCTTTCCGGCGAGCGCATGCGCCTGCTTTTTTCACCATCAATTCTCACCCCCCCGCCCTCTCTCTTATTTTTAAGTCCGAGGAGATTTGTCTTACGGGCAATGAATGGGAAGTCCATAGAGCTGTCTGCGTCCTTACTCACGACCGCTCTCTGGCAGCTGTGTCTGCGGGTGGCATTAAAGCGCTAATGCACTAAAAGCCTTAGCCCGTAAGCTTCAGAACGGAGTCTGAGGCTTTGTCCACTTTGTTTCCGCATGGATTGAGAATTTCTTATTCAGGAACTGGGGGGAAAAAAGGCATTAACCTAGACTTACAGGAATAATAAAGGCACCGCCCAATCTAGCCTTTACACCCACTGTTGTTAACTTTGCAATATCAATATAAAATCTAAACTGTTGCGTGGATTTGTTTGTTTAAGTCACGCAGGACACCTCAGATTTGACACCTTATATGTGTAGGCATTCGTGTATAAAAAAGCACGACATCCCTGGAACACAAGCACGGTATAAAGCCATTAACAGATGGTATCCCTCGAAGATGTGTGGAGGTAACAAGGAACTTGTTTATTGGGCTCCATCTCACATTATATTTACAAACAGAAAATAAGGATACATACAAAAGAAGCTTTAAATATTCCTTACACTATACATTAGTATTGAAAAATAGTTATGACTTACGGGGATGGATGGTGTTCGTCATACATATTTCTCTTATTAAAAAAAAATAATTTTTCCATTAGACCCTACATTTGCGGTCCTTTTAAGCAGCAGAATGACCAGACCGTAGCCCGCCAGATCTTGTCATCTCTCAGGAGCTAAGCATGGATGGGTCCAGTCAGTACTGGGCAAAGAGGACTTATAAGGAAAACCAGGCTGCTGAAGTAAGAGGTGTTGGGGGTAACTCTTCCCTTTGGACCACAGCTTTCAAAACAAATTCCCGAGTATTGTGATTAGGTACAGTGTACAGTAGTGGGTACCATCACTCAGACCAGGCATCAGACAAGGTCCCGTGACATTTCATTAGAGTTGGGGTGTGGTGCCCAGCGTCCTGGTTAAATTCCTCTGGGCTTGAACAGCCTGACCTACCTGGAACTTCTCCTTGATTCTCCCATTTCTAGTCGGGCTGCTGGCACATGGCTGCACCACACATAAAGAGCTTTGGCATCCTTAGGGCACAAACAGCTGTCTAAAAGAGATTGTTTTCAGTCAGTGCGTTTACGAACATTTTGCAGCTGCCTACACATCTGACCATTTCATGTTACTGACAGCTACACAAGTGTGAGCAGCTGTATGATTTTTACAATCATGTTTTCCCCATTAGGCACTGATGTCCTACAAGCGTACTGCTCCTACAGCTTCACACTTGCTACTCTGTCTTCAGTTAAGTGTGTTGTTAAATTCTATACTGTAGAGTGTCTACTAAATTGTGTAAGCAGTACTTTAAGGGTTGTTGTATACATACTGATGGAAAAAAGAAACGCAACACCTCCTCCTCCACACTCTGGCCCTCCCATCTGGGTGGAACAGGCTGAAGAGGGACTCATCTGTGAAGAGGACCTGATGCCACTGCTGACGAGTCCATCGAAGCCTCTGTCTGGCCCAAGCCAGCTGGGTGTGAGGTCTAGGAGGTGTGAGCAGAGGGCCTCTGACAGGTCGCCTTGCTCTAAGGCCAGCAGCACGGAGCCTCACTGTCCGGTCACTGATGCGGGCATTGTGTCTGCTGGCAGGTTCAGCCGCAGTACGGGTGGCAGATCTGAAACGATCTCTCAGATGGACCAGTCTGATGTGTCGGTCCTGCTCTGGTGTGGTCACTCGAGGGCAACCGGATCTTGGACGGTCATCTGTCCTGCCGGTCTGCTGAAACCTTCTCTGCAGTCGGGACACAGTGGAGCAGCTCACTCCATAGTGTCTGGCAGCGCTGGCACATGACAGGCCTGCCTGCAGCATGCCAATGGCCCTCTCCCTTGCTTCTGGTGACATCCAAGGCATTATGGACTGCACAGAAAACTGACTAAGTGTGGCCTTCTTCTCGCAGTGACCTAAGCTTTGAATTGAGGCCTTTTTAAAGGTGACCTGATCAGGCATTGCTCCACCTGCACCTCGTTGGGTAAAAGTGCACCTAATGAGCTTTCCTGTGATTGGCAGGTTGCAATGCCCCACTGCACCAGCTGTACTGCTTAAAACAAATTTATAACATTTTGTGAAAGTACATTAACTATAACTATAGTATTCAAGAAAATCTTGCGTTTCTTTTTGGCATCAGTATGTTTACCCTGTAAAATGTATTACTGAGGCTTGCATGTGAACTAACACCATACATACAAATAAAGACTGATTACCACACAATACATGCTGCTAGCTGTAGCAAAGTCTGATGCTGAATACACTGAGCTAAGGCATGTTATCTTCATGCCAGGACTTTCAGTCAGCAAAGGGAAGGTGCAAGGAATCAAACGAATGTATGATCCCCTCCGTAAATATTAAAATGAGATAGTAAATTAACCATTTGGTTCATTAACACAGCAAAACTGTGTAAAACGGAACTGATGCAACAAAAACTAGTAACAGGAAGGAGTCAAATTATTGAATTTCTGACCAGATCAATTGAAAACATTGACCACTGTGAAATGCACAGCTGGCAGCACTCATTCTCAAGATAGTGCCCTGCCTGTCTAATATTGCAGGTGTTGCTGGAGATGATCAATTGCTTTTCCAGGTGCATTAAAGAGGTCTGGCTCAAGAGATAATGCAGGCCACTAAAGAGACAGCAGATCATTTGTTAAAATAATACCTGTATGTTCAGACTACAACGGTTGTATACGAAAAGGTTTGCCAAATCTGTTATCCATGAATCTCAGGTTCATTGTGGTTACTAGCCCATTCACCACTTGACCAGCCACATATACCATTGCGAGTTGATCATAGTGCTCCCCCCACACCCCAATCCTAATATTACCTTCTATGATGTCCATTTAGAAACAGCAAAAATGTGAGAAAACCTGATAAAATCCTTGATTTTCCCCTAGGCTTTCAACTTAGAATCTGACCATGAAAGCTTTTCAGGACAGTGTCCAAATCAATATCTATGGGCAAGTGTTAAAGCGAGTCCCCAGCTGTGAAATGCTGTCTTTCACAACTTCAGTATATCCAGCCATTTTCTAACAGTTACAATTCAGGGTCACGGGGGAGCCAGAGCCTATCCCGGCAAGCAACAGGCGCAAGGCGGGGTACACCCGGGGCAGGAGACCAGTCCACCGCAGGGCAGACAGATACACTGACACAAATCCGCACACACTCACACCCGGACCAGTTCACCCAGAAGCCCGTGAACCTACCAGTATGCCTGTGGCAGCAAACTGGAGCACCCAGAGAAAACCCACACAAACACGGAGAGAACATACAAACCCCCACACAGACAGCACCCCAGGTCTGGACTCGAACCCGGGGCCCCAGCAGCCGTGAGGGAGGAGGGCTCACCAGTGCGCTACTGTGCCACCCCTACACACACACACACACATCGCTTAAGAAAAAAACAGAAAATTACATGTTTGAAAAGCAGGGAATAACCTATGAATACTGCATTTTCCTGTAAATGAAGTATAAAGAGATCTTATTAGTGGACACTTGAAGCTTGTACGGGCTCTTTATCAACAGAGCTGTGTTCAGAAACAACGTCTCCGTGGGCTCGATTGGGCCTTCTCTGCTCTGGCACCTGGATTCCTAGCCATTACAGGACTTTGGCCCTTGTTCCAAAACATTCAGTACAGAGCTGATCCTTTTAATTTCACTTTTTTTTTCATTTTACTCAAGCAAAGTGAAAATCACTTCAATAACTGAGGATTAGCAGGAGCACCGAACATTGGCATGGAATCTGGCATAAATTTGCCATCCTCTGGGCAAGAGGAGCCGAGACACATCTTATATTCCAGAATTAGAGTGCCACCTGGTGGCGACTTACCGGCATTTCAGACTAACATTTCAATTGAAAAGAGGATCACCAAGAAAGTAGCAACAAAGCAGAAAAGTTCAGTCTGACAGCATTGTCCTGTGAGAATTCGTTCCTTATAAAATGTGGTGCATTACACACTGGGTGACCCTTGTACATCTAATTTTGTACATTTCACGTAGAATAAATTAAACGTTCCAACATTAAATGCTGAGTAATAAATATAAAATTTTATTTGCACTTCATTAGTTAAAGAATGCCACAAGTTATAAATACCTCAAAAACATCTTAGAACATGCCAACAAAACCTGCTTTATATCGGGTTTAAAATGTTTAGTATCTCAATTTACAGTCTGAAACTTGCTATATTTATAATATGAGAAGAATACTTTAAATGCACTTCTGTAAAAGTTAACTTTATAAAGAGAAACAGTGAAAGGCTTACCTTTACAATATTTGCATTAAACAAAATGCACAGAACAAAACTGGGTTTTCAAAGTGACACAGGTTATACCAAAGCACTTAATCTGTAAGTGCGGTACAGAGTTTTACTTTTTACAGTTAGTCCAGACTCCACAAAGGAGAGCAGAGCATCACATTCAGTACACTGTAGTGTGTACATGTTTACATCAACACAGTTTCATAATCTACACACATGTAATCTTACACACTGTAAATTCAAAGCTTCTTTCTTTCACATACAAAGTACTTTAATATTGTATATGCTTTACATTTTAAAATGTAACAATGCATTTATTGCCTGTTCACATTTTTCACGTTGGGGTAGAGTGGCTGCACATGACTGGCTTGAACCTTTCGATTTGTTTACTGATGGTGTGACGTATGAAGAATAATATAATGACAGAACAAATCTCAAAGTCCCAGAAGGAATAGCCCCAGGTCTGATGCAAATGTATTGGTAAGCTTTTTTAAACTAGAAATGTTCTGTATTCATATAAATCCTGCTGATATATTATAATTTTTTAGTTCTATAAATGAGGAAGCACATAAGACACAGGTAGGCTGCCACAAAACCAAAATCACCAAGTTTCAAATTACCTTCATGTAAGAAACTCCTTTACCACTGGAAGTCACGCACAAGAAGTGCTTATCAGTCAAACATCAGTCTTATTATGCCATCAAACTATTTTAAAAGACTATTCTCTAAACTGAACTCTACAATGAGTTAATCAACGCAGATTTAATACTGTATGACTTTGATCGGTTTTACTTAAATTGCAGGAAACCTACAGAAAGAAAAATGTGTAGTTAAGTTGTAAAATCAAATTTGAAATTTTCTGATACGAACCCCAAAACGTTTTAGTATGGCCTTGACGTATATCCCTTTTCAATATGTCAATAAATATCACCATATATTCAGCTTAGTGTCCAAAATGGGGAATTCCAAAACATTGAGTGCATTTCCCAAACATTCTTCAGAATAATGTTTAGCCAAAATAAAGAAAAAGATTTATAAACTTAGCTGTAATATTCACCCACCTGCTATTGTATGCAAACATGTAATACTGTTGTCCTCTCAAAGGATAGGATCACAAAAAAATCCTGACACAAAATAAACTATGTATTAGCGCTGCAAATAAGCACTACACATTACTAGTTAGCATGTAGTTTCTTATGCGATGCCCTCATACCTTGTCCAAACTAGTCTCAACTGATTGTAGTGCAAAACAGGGAAAAAAATGGAACCATTCATGCCAGCTTGCTCAGCAAATACCATTGTATTGTAAGGCAAAAAATAGTTTAAAACAAACTGAAAGCACTCCTGAAACCACAGAAAACATGTCAGTCAAATTTTCCCTTAAAACAAGACTGTCTCCGAGGGACTAAAAAGTACATTTACATTTAATTTATGTAAATACAGCATGTACTATAATGTACAGATTATCACTGACACGTTGACTTTACAGATTAGGAATACCGCTGCCCGTCATAATACTGTGATTTTTCAAGCTTTAAGGCGACTAAGGTCATTGACTGAGAGAGAGGCTCTGCACCTGCATGTCTCCACTCTAGCAATTTACACTCACAGCTGCCAGTAGGTTGCTTAGCAGAAGTATTTTAAAATCCTGAACTAAACCTCTCCAGAAATTGCTTCTCTGGCTTACGAGACAGCGATATGGACATGCTCTCTAGCTTCCGATGGGTATAAACGATTTTTCTGAGCCACACAGCAGTTAAGAATGGGAAGGCATTCGTGGGATCTCAGAGCCACTGTGTTACTAACCGTGAGGTAGAGAGCAGGGCTAAGGTATGTGCTTGCGTAGGTATCGTTGTATTGCGTCTCGTACGGTATGAAAACGAAAGAAAGAACTTCAGATAAACGGATTCGCCCCCTCAACGCTCTCCCAGCCCGGTCTTTTCTGCCCACGCCCGGCAGGAACGGTTCACAGCTCGACTGTGGAACAGACACATGGGCGACGAAGGCCTCAGCAGCACCTCAGATTGGGGCGAGGTGGGGGTAGCTCAGGGGGAACTTCGGGTTCAGGCTGCAGGGAGAGGATGCTGTTCGACAGCTCCCGGTTCGGAATTTCTAGAGGCAACTGCAACACAAAATATACATGGTTACCGTGGGTAAAAAAAACAGCCCCGCAAGACAGTTACAATTCGTAAGCTAGTTCAAGTTCAGCAGTACAAATAAAGGCTTAACAAAACAGTTTACACAATATTTATTCACATCACCCTGTTTTTGCCTAGGAAACCTGTGACTTTCCAGGTGAAATCCTATCACAATGAAAGCCTGATTCTTTCCAGATGAAGTGCTGGCATTGATTCCTGACGCACAGTACGCTCTCGACATCTGCATGGTTAACATGCACCGATTTGTGATTCGGTCTGGCCGACTAGGTCTTGTAAGGAAGAACAGCAGAGTGGAATAAAACGGCGTTGAAGGCTGTCACGCACAACTTTCAAATTACCCACGCAACAGACTACGATCATGAGACTAGCTGGTAAATGAGCCTCTTTCATGCCTCCTGCCCCAGTACTCACTGCCCAGCATCCACATCTCAGCTTGGTCTTGCTTCTGTATTGAACTAACGCTCTGGATTCTCTGTCAGCAGTGTGGGGAATGACTGGAGACGCCTTTACAGGCTCATGTACAGTATTATTGCCTGGCACCATAATTCCACATTTGTTGGACAACATCACTCTGCTTATAATTTTTGTATTTATCCTCCTACCTGCAAGTGTCTCAACATTTCAGCAGAGTTTTAATTAACCACAAATCTAGAGCATTTAAACAGATTTACAGTCCTGTTGTGAACTCTAGAACAAAGATGTCACTACAGAAGAAATGTTTACACAGTCATTTTCCTGCTCAGAAAAAGAAAGCTGAGTCACATAAAATAGCAGAGGATATGAAATCAAAATACATTATGCAAACTCTTATCCATGAGTATTTTCAAAATTCGTTTTTTTTTTTATTAATTGATGTGGCTTTTAAAGAGTAAACAGAACATGCCGTCCCTAAATAAGTGGCCTATTCTTACAGGGCAGTACATAACGTACAACAATGTGACCATTGTAAATCTTTAGTAAGGGCAGACTTTGTCCCTAGAATAATTAAAAACAACAATTACAAACACACTTTTGGAAATCATTTAGGGTTTTAAACAGATGTCTGGAAAAAAAAAGTCTCAAATACTTCTAAAAATAAGGTACTATGGTCACACATATTAATACAAAGCCTTCTGTGAGGCAAAACTGCTGTTGGGTTGTGATCACTCCATCTGACTGACACGGAGTGTGAACCACTTCACTAATGACAGAAATTCTCTTGATATTCACAGAAAAGATCTTTCATCTCACAATGCATCAATCACACACCAAAGGGAGGAAGGAACAGTAACTCCTGTAGCTTATATATAGAGTGAGCACACAATTCTAACCGAAGTATCCAAAGCTGAAAGCAGTTTCCATAATGCCCACAAGGTAACTGTGGCAGACAACATCCTCCTTCGCAGCACCAGCTTGGCTGCTAGCTACTGAAAACATGAAATGTTTGTAGGCAGCCATTCCCAAATGTCAAGCAGCTCCTTTGTAGCCTACGTGTAAAATTCCACTACGTCGAGGTGTCACTCCCAACAAGGCAACTGTGAAAATGAAGCTGAGACTGAAACACAAGAATTAGGCTACTAGTATACAGACCTTGTTTAGAATGTCATCAACGAGTTTTAGAAATATCTCGTCGACGTTGTAATTATCCTTGGCACTTGCTTCACAAAATCGCATTCCAGATATCCGCTGAGCAAACTGCAAAAGAAAAATTAACATTGTTTCAGAATCATAATGGCAGCTAAAATCTAAAAATGTACCAACCTGCATACAAACGCCCACTGACAATGCATTTGCACATTGCTGCAAGTCACTCCAAAAATCTAGCCTTCACTTGTCAGCTGCTGTATACAAAACACTCTGTGTTACATGAGGACAGACCCGTCATATGCACAACATTAGCTCTATTATAGTAATTACTTGCATAAATGTACTATAGCAAACCTGTAACAGAGTATATTGAGAAAAATACAGGAACACAGGTCATGTTCACGGAAATCATTTAAAAACAGGAGTGTTAGCAAACACTGCAAAGGTTGTAAAAAACAATTCAATAACACTGATCAAATTCAGGACCAGGCAAATTTCTTAACAGTTTACTTATTTAATGGACTTTCCTACATCAGTCAAATTTCGCAGGCAGGGACCTCCAACGGGTCATGACAGAGGCCCTGAGACCTGACCTGGTATACTCAACCAAGCGTCACACTTCCCTAAACGTCGAGGCCCACAACTCTGAGTCCTCCCATTCAAGGACCTGCAGTTCGCAATCCTCAACACCCTTCCACTGAAAGACAGAAAAATCCACGTCTCTGGTATCCAGATCAGAAAGGAAGCATCAGACCAAAATACTGGAAACCCTTAAATCTGGCAGGAGATCCTGAAGCGTGTTCTGGGATGTCGTTCCAATCTCAGCCACACTGCAGTGTGCTGCTTCGATGGTTCTTTGAATTCTGGGAAACAGGTGCCAATGTCCTGAATAAAAATGGCAAGTTTTGGAAGAAGATGCCTTCCATGTTTCAGAATGAGCCACACCGTTTGGCCTGTACCCAGCAGATGGGGGGTTTAGATGCACAGGGTTTTTAGTTAATAACATGAGTTATGCAACTCATTTGTCATCAACCAGTTTGGGGTAGTTTTGATATTTTACTGACCAAAAGATCCTGATTGCACCCAGACAGCCCACAAAGCGTGCCAAGTCCTTCCCCAACAAACACTGCTTTGAAGCTGAATGTCCTTATATGCACTGTCCATCTCCTCAAAAACAGCCTGAAACAGCTTATACTTGAAGGCCGGTCAAAAAAGAAACTTCCCTTCCTTCACCACAGTCATCACATTTATCAGCTTAAAGCCAGAGACCTTGGCACAGATTCTCTCGATAATAGAATTAAAATTTCCCGAGGAGTGGCCAATTTGATCCTTGCTTCTTACAAGGCCCTTCTGTTTCCTGACCACTGTCAATGGTCACAGAACACATCTCTCTGAACCAGAGCACTCCAGTATATAAAGTGGCAGGAAAGTGGCATTTAACAAAGGGAATTGAAGGCATTCATAATATACACAAAAGGCTGTGGGGTCTGGAATAAGGCGCTGAGCCATGCTGCTGAAGCTGATGCCCAGGCTTCTTTAACAGCTGGATAAAACCCCTGGATCAATTAGCTATTAAAAACTATGAGCTCATTCTGCATGTCCCCCCCAAGTGAAAAGACATTAAAGATTAATTAATTTCTGCATTATTCTTCATTAAATATAAATGTCTTCCTCATTTAAATGGCTTAATGCACCCATATCCGATACTGAAACAGAAACGGAAGGAAACAATAGAACAGGGGTCACAGGAAAGTGGCATGTAGTCTAGCTGAACAGGCGTTTTGATTGTATTCTGTATGACTGGTCTAACATTCATTAGGCTCAGTCAATATTCATTCTGTCCAAGCAAGTGCACTTGAACCTTGTCAGGCAAGTTCCCTTTATGTCCTGAAATCTGCCTAAAGAAGTGAAACTGCAGAGGTGCCTTGTCAATGGATAGCAGCTGTCTGAGGAAGAACTTCTCTTTTTCAAAAGGAACCCTTAGCAGTGGCTTCATCAGCTCTCCACCACTTCAGCTGTGGCACTGCTTGTTTTAAGGGCATACTGACTGAGTTCCAGAGTCCCTCTTCACCTGCCAATTTAAAAGAGCCTTTTCTGATTTATTTTCTGCTGTGTTTTACTTACGCTGTTTCTTAAGTAATGTAACTTAAAGGCACCAAAGTGCCTTTCAGAATAAAATACAAGGACAATAATTTAAATCACATCATTATCACATCACATGAATATTCAACTCCCAACACTAATTCCTCAGATTCCCAAATTGAGGAGTTGCAATGTAGGGTGTGTTGGATTTTTTTTTTTTCAATGTTAGTAAAACACAGAAACAGCACACTTAAAAAGGCACTTCAATGAGTCCTCACTGGAAAAGTATTCCGGTTTTATAATTCTAGCATCAGACAAAGAGAATATTTCGCTCCACTACAACCTGTTTGAAGTTAAGACTCTGTAACCTATTTTATCCTCTCTTGCTGGTGATGAAGAAACAGTATTTTACAGAAAGATAAATGTGTTTCTGTAAAATACTGTTTATAATGAGCAGATTGAAATTAAAATGAAATTCTTAATGCACCAACAATTCAGCCCATAGAGTGAAACAGGAAATGTGTGATCTTACAGAAGTTAGCTGTGCTTTGGGTCAGGCATCTCCAGCCCCGGACCCGCAGAGCCCCAGCCCAGTAAGTCTTATAAATCAGCCTAAGTCACACCTTTCTAAGGAATGGGAAAACTTGTTAGATCCTGATTCATGACACAAGCCATAGTCTCAATTATGGCAGCTCTGGCTCTCGAGGGCCGACAATTTCTAAATGACACAAACCGCCCATAACGAACTACAGGTGAATGGTCGCAGGTGACGAGCCGAGACTTGAACAAAGCACAGAGATGCCAAAATAGGTATGTATATCACACAACTAACTGGCGAAAAAAGAAACGGGTGACTTGCTGGTTTCCCACACCTGCTGGCTTGTTGCTCTCCAGGGGCTCTGGACAACACAATGAATCCCAACGGGACCGATACAAAAACTGAAGCACTTAATGGAAGAAAGTGGGATAGTGGACACACGTTATCTAGGCTGAAGTAGCTCCAGTAGGGAGCTGCGTCAGCATGCGTAGGCTGCAAAGGAACAGATAACGGGTTTATTCCCTGCTGAAAGGAGAGGAAAGTTAGCGTGACACCCAAAGAAGGCTCCACAGCCAGAATGTTGCGTTTCTTTTTTCTCTTTTTAGCATGGAACAAACCTTTACTTGTTCCCATGTTATCGAATCTTCCCCGGCTGGCTGCAGATCTCTCTGGGCCCTTTGCCACCTACCTTCTCCCCTTGCTGTCGTGAGATCACTCTGTCCGTCTCGCAATCCAGCTTGTTCCCAACAAGTAACAGCTCTGCGTCTTCCGAAGCGTACTGTATGAGGAAAGGCCAGATCATGTTTGGAAGACGTTAGACATGATCTACAAACCTACTGATATTCCTTTTCTGTGCTATTTTTTTTAAAAGGTCTTTATGTAATACTGATTCACGGACAAATAACGGATTAATGTCACTGCCTGTTTTGACAGGTCAGTGTGACGTCAATCAGGACAATAACAAATGCTGATTCTTATTTTACTTATTTTATTTGTATTCATTCATTCATCTTGGATTTAAAGGACAAGGGGGAGGTATGGGTTGATCACGGCACAATAACAAGCTTGCACAAAATATGAAGGTAAATTTAATTTGGCTTCAAAACATGAGGAACGTCTGCAAAGCAAGAGATCCTCACACTACAAGAAAATAAGGTCATTCCACGTGACATCAATATGATTTTAGCATGACTATCTAAAATTTATCTAAAACTATCTACAGACACAATCTTGGTGCCATTTTAAAGCCCTTGTGTCTCTGCAGATGGTCCCTGAGGTTTGTTGGGAACCAATCTTTCAAATCATAAAAACACAGACGAATCTTATTAAAGGATTTTTTTGGTGTAATGTTCTACAGACTCTATGTATGCGCACAGTTACAAATGCAATGTGATTTTGTGTAATAAATTGTTCATCTATTACCTAGAACCAAAATGTGCCCTTGGACAAAAGGGCTGCTATCCAGAATATGTTCTTTAGGATTTTTTGAGAGATCATATCATCATTTATGTTGTATGATTGTGGTATATTTGTGAGACTTTAGCCCTTTAATCTTCTCATATATGGTGCTACTGTAAAAACGTCTGCAAATGTCACAACAGTCAGAAATCAGGCTGCTGTCACATGGAATGGCCCTACACTAAGGGGATTTGAAAGTATAATCAAATTGATGTAGTGTAGATTATTTTCCATTAGGACTTCGAGATTCAGAAGTTAAATAAAAGGGTCTCTAGTCTGTGAAGATTTATATTAAGCCTGAAATGTAAGTTTTGGTCAAATCCCCGTCACACTTTTCCTGTCACAAACCATCTCGTTTCATAAATCAAATATGACACTGATACGAAAAGGAAAATGGCTCAAGTCACTATAGTATTACATGTTAAAGCTAAGACTAGTTGAAGAATACGCGCTTTGGAATACTTCTTTGATTTTGTTTTCTACATTGTTGTACCTTGTCAATCATTTTCATCCATTTGGGCAAGTCTTCAAAGGTCTCCTCCTTAGTGATGTCGTATACTAATACTATTCCCTTGGCACCTCTGTAGTAGGCAGAGGTAATGCTGTTGAACCTCTCTTGACCAGCTGTGTCCCTACACAGATGAAGCATTTGTTATTGCCAGTTGCCATCAGCTGGCATTCTTCACAGATCAAACACGCAAAAACACACGAGGCTGGTGAATTTCTAGAAAGGAAATCATTGTATTAATTTCATTAGCCTGGAAACATGGTGATACAGGCAGACGTAGTTCAAGGAGGGAGCTGCGTCTGCATGCGTAGGCTGCAAAGGAACAAGTAAGAGTTTATTCCCTGCTGGAAAGAGAAGAAGGCTCCACAGCCGAAACACTGCATTTTCTCTCTTCTCTTTTCAGCATGGAATAAACCTTTACTTGTACCGATGCAGGTAGACTACTGACACAAAAACAATCAACTATCAAGAGGTTTTCTGAATGAGATTTAGAAATCACAGTGGCACTCAAGACTACATTAGAATTAAAAAAAAAAAACGTTTAAGAACTATTTAAAATGTTTCAAGGGACTAATATGTAGATTGTTACAACATGAGAATGAGCTTTAAAAAAGGCTGCGAAGTTGCCCACGAGTCTCAAACTGAATAAACTTCGAACTTCTGCAAACTAAATATGCAGAAGAGACTTGGTGGGTTTGAACCCAGGTCATGTCAGGGCTGATATTGCCAAAGGCTCAGCCCCGCAGGGGGTGGGGCTGAGATCGGTTGGCCGGGTCTGCAATCCTGGGCAGGATGTAGTGAAATCAGTGCGGAATGTGTCTCTCTGCCAACCGGCACTGAACATCCTGTACGTTACTGTGGAGCCCATAACATGGATGTCCCAAATGGCAGGTGGTTTGGAAGAGACTGTCAGCTCATCATCATGGTTCCCATGAGGGTGCAGACATACTTCATCATTTATAAAATGGCAGCCTATTTGGGATAACTAAACTAGCTTAAATATAGCCAGGCTACAGAACAGAGAGAATAAAACGCATATAATGACTTGAAACTGTTGCTTCAGCTTTGAGACTTTGAGCAAAATTTTAAATAACTTTAATTACCTGTTGTAGACACTTTCACAAGCGAGCCCTGAACTCTGTTACATGACTCTTCCCTAGAGCCATGCAGACGGTGAATGGAGACGTCACATGGATATCTAAAGTTAGGACACTGATGCAGCCAAGGATGAGGGTGTTAAGTTGGACGAGAGGAAGACAAACAAATGTGCTGGAGTCCTGCCAGGGTGGAGTTAGTGAGCCAGAGTCAGTTCACAAATTATTATAGCAAGCAAACACAAACCACTGAGCACAGCCACTCCAGGAGTACCATGCAGTACAAGCCCAACGCGATGCGAATGTTGCAACGAACACAGATAAAAACTGCTCAAAATCCATTGCTCTGCTTTTCCTGCTAAAGTACAGGAAATAGAAAACAACTGCCTTCAGATCCTCTAGCTACGACGCACAAACTTTCTGTCTTGAGATCCAGGCATCACGCTTCAATCTGTGATGCAGGCCGAGGATGTCGTCTGAATTTTTCAATTTTCAATTTCAGCCCCAAGAGTTCTAAGAAGAGTTCTTGCTCTTAATCTGCATGCAAGTTTACTTTCTAAGTGGATTAGCTGGAAGTGTTTCTTTTATATACAGTAAAGAAAATGTTGGTGTACATCACGATTTTTCAACCTTTACAAATTAAGATGAAATAACATATGGTAAGGGGATACTGAATAGACAAATAGCGTAACTAAAAATAATTCCACATTTCTGCAAATGTACAATGTTCAAACCGATTCATAGACTAAAAATATTGAGCCTCAAAAGAATTATAACTCATAACTGCAACACGTTCACGAATCGTTCACTGTTTGTTGAATTGCCTTGACACAGATAAATCCATCTTGCTCATACTGTACAGTATCTGTGGTCAACAGGTCGATGAACGGGGAGTTTACTGTGAAAGGTCACAGGTTCGTAATGTGTGTGATCCCTGCTGTAAGAAACACAAGCCTGTGATACGCAGTATACTTTGATGTTGTCTCGTGGAATTTGGTCCTATTCCTTTTTCCTTTTGTAGAACCTGAACGGGCAGGTGCCTGTTCACCAGCCTCGGCGCCAGAAATGCTACACACTGTCCACTCCCACTGCACCAATTGTCAATACGGCTCGTGTCTGGCGTATGGGGTACCCACATCATAACTGTCCTGTTCTCATCTTGTAAGACACAGTGGCCTTCTCTCTGCAGGCGCACTGCCCTGCTGGAATGCTGTCATGTCAGGATAAGATAAGATAAGATCACTTTATTGGCCATATACAATTTCTTGTATTAGGAATTTGTCTTTTCACATACCCCAGCTTTCTCTCCATGAGACACACAAACACACAGACAGGGAGAGAGAAGCTTGGCGTCAGCCATTTATACAGCACCCCTGGAGCAGTTGAGGTTAGGGGCCTTGCTAAGGGGCCCAATGGAGTAGGATTCCTCTGCCGGCTGCGGGATTCGAACCAGCAACCTTTCAGCCACAGGCACAGATCCTCAGCCTCAGCTCCGCCCGGATGAGCCTACAAGAAGGGCAGCACTGGAGGTCCAGGTGGTGAATGGAGCACCGCTCAGGCAGGATGACACCTGTCACTCCAGGTGAAGTTCCAGAGAAACTAGACGCTCTGGTGCAGCACACTACACTCGGACATCTCCTTTGATTTGGAGAAAGGAGACCTGTGTCTCCAGGACTGCTGTCTATCACTGTGGGCTGTGTTTGACTGTAGTGCTTGGCCAGGTTATAAACTGCTGGCTCTGAATTACACCAGATGGCAAGCAGCAGTGCGTTTAAGTCAGCCTCCAACATGGCACAAAGATACAGCTCTCTTGTGAAGCGGGGGATATTGGTTCCTATCTGCATTCTTCTTTCTTTTCTCCAGGTTTGACATTGCAAGGGTTAAATCACCTCACCGCCTGAGTCCAATCCTTTCTCTCACTAACGAGGTGATTTAGTGCTGATGCAACAAAATCACTGGAGTGTAACAGTCAGTCATGAGTGATTAATTAATCAAAACGACTCTAAAACTTTTGATCAATACGGAAAGTTTTTTTTAAAAAAACTACCTTTTTAAAATGTATGCACAGAGTCTTCAAATTTTTCTGATGCGTGGCATACGCTGAAAATAAATGCTGTAAATAAAAATAACTGATGCAAGAGCATGGATGAATATGGTGTCTGTGGCAGAGTTCCCAGGCAATGTTAGAAGAAAAGACGTACCTCAAATAGCGACTCATTTGACTTCTGAGTAAAATGTGACCATATGATTTGGTTGAATAAAACACAGCCCAAGTTTTGTCTAGCTAAAAAAACACTGTATCTGTCCTGTGTCAAGAAGCTCAGTCTTCCTCACAGTCTTTACAACAGGACAACAAATACAAGACAAGCATCAAACACGATGACCACAGAGAAAAATAAGTGCTCTTCATTGGTCGTGACTATTTATAACATCAATTTCTGAAGAAATTACATTACAAATCCAGGAAGTGCGACCTTGAGGAGCTGAACAGCTTCTGCATGGATAAGAGGAGGAATTTCATCCCTGCGATGGCTGAAACCCTTCAGTAGTTCAGACGTCCCCAGTGAAGACGGAAAAGCAATTAACACTGTGTTTTCGAAACACGATTCTGGTGTTTAGGTGAGCAGAACTGGGGAAAGGCTAGGGCTTCCTGGACCCCAGAACACCAGCGTACAAAAAAAAAAGACATTATGCGAAAGGATCTGTTCGTGTGGTCTGGGATTCCTGGATGAGCAGAGGAGCAGGAAGCTGTGCCAATCCGAAACGAGTGTGCAGGAATACTGTCAGCAAAGAAGCTGCTTTACATAGAGCTTCACAGGGCTAATGGAGGACCAAGGGCAAGCAACTGTTTGGAAGGGACACTGGAAACATGAGGCTCATGCTCAGGTGTCTGGAGGTAAGGAAGGGTAGGGTTGTCCTCCGCCCAAGCTTTTGTTACCAATGTGGACACATTTGCATATTGTTTATTTCTATAATGTGACAACCAAATAGCCGTCATAACGTCTCATTTACTGAACTCTTCCACTCAATGGCCCTCTTCCACTCTTCCACTCATTTGGCCAAACCGTTTGGCTCCAGGAGATTTTCCCAAACAGAAGCCAGCAAGAGCAGATCAGAAAAATCACAGTCTACTACTTTTTTTGTGACAGAGAAGAATCCGAAAAAGAGAAAATACTTCTACTGCAGAGCAAAAGAGATTTTCATACGGTCTAACGGGGTCTTTTTTATTTAACTATAGACGATGTAAGCAGCTCCAAGCAGAACATTTCTTCTTACTGCACAATGACAATCACAGGCACATCATGGACACACCAAACATCAGGCAAATGAAAATGAAGTTTTGGAACAAACCCTGACACTAAAAACACTTAAGTTTGACAAGCAGCAATTAGTTTCAGAGAAAATGTTCACGTTAGTGTTCAGGAACAGTGTTAATTCAGCCACTGGTAAATTGCTAGTACGTTAAAAGCTCTATGTAGCTTCAAACCAGGGGTGACTAAGAGCAGAATGGCTCCGAATTACTTACCAGATCTGTAACCTGATTTTCTTTCCTCTTAGCTCTACTGTTTTGATTTTAAAATCAACTCCTATAAACAACAACAAAAAAAGACGCAGGAAGGGAAGGCAGAAAAGGAATGGTAAGAAAACAATCGCAGTGAAATCAAATCCGAGCTAGAAAAGGTGAACATACAGTTACAGAAACACAGGTCAAATCAGAGTGTATTTTAAATAAGAAAAATACTGACAAAAAAATATAAAGGGAAGAAGGTGAGGAAGACACTGGATGATATAGGACTCTACATTCACTAGGACATAACTGCTCTTAAATTGAAAGATATTACATAGTAAATTCAGCATTGCATCCTTGCTGGGAAGACAATTGGTAATCGATGCCCTTGCATAGTAAATATGCAATACTGATCAGCTTTTCCCTGTTCCTGCCCACATCGGACCATCTGAAGAGCTGAGCAGTGTCACAGATCTGTCTAGTGTCATTCTTGGTTAGGCTTCATAGTAAACAGATAATGTACATTTACACCCAGAATTTCATCTCTGCAAATGCTTAAAATTACAATTTAACATCTTTCAAATTATGGGCAACTTAAAATTCCAGTCCTGTACCAAAGTCTCCCAGTGAACACAGAGGCATATGGCTACCTGCTGTAGAGCAGGTTACAACAGTGGACACAAATCTATCAGAATATCAGGAAAGCCTAATGGCATATGTGCCATATGTGCAAGGCTATTTTATAATTGACACTGATTCGTTAGCACAAAAAAGTGAAAAACAGACTGTGTGAGGAAATTTAAAGATGCACTCAAATCTGCAAAGCTGACTTTTGCAAATCACATTGTCCTCCTCATTTGTCTCCTCAGCTGGTCTCAACCATGCTACTGTCCTCCTCAAGACTTGCCTGCTGTGGACCAGACTGTGTGACTGAAGGAATTAAGTAGAATGAACTTATAAAGACACAGGTCACTGTGTAATTCAGTTATGAGGCTGGTTTATTATCAATAGCATGGAAGGCTATAATCTAAAGGGTTACTGTGTTCTGTTAATCAGGCAAATTATTTTTTAAACTCAACGAATTCTCAGTAGTTACTAAAAGAAGATAAAGGCCTCACAGATGATATTTCTTCCACGGCCGAAACATTGTTTTTTTCTTCTCTTTTCAGCATGGAATTAACCTATTACGTGTTCCATTATAAAACTAGGACTGGTTTGTAATGAAACAAAAAAAACAACTTTGGCACATATAGACAGAAGATGCGATATAAAGAACTAAAAAAGAATAGCATCTCTTCATTTTAATAGAGTACTTTGTGCAAAGTAATATACAAACTACCAAGAAAGAATTTTACAAGCTCAATAAAAGAAATAATTCATGATTTTTTTCCAGGAATTCTTCAAGACATTATGAATTGTTATAAAGGTACAAATGCAGATAAATTGAAAATCAATTCTTCTATGCATTTCATGATAAGTATTAAATATCTTCCAGATTGGTATGAGGACAAGTAAAGTGGAAAGAGACAATATAGTTTAGTTTTTTTTTAGATCGGCAATTGTATACATAACCAGACTTCCAACAAAATAAAGAACGACTTAAAATTCACCTGTTAAGAGACATAGAAAAACATATGTACAATATTATTGAAATGTTTTGAAACACCCTGTATGGGATGGCTAACAGAAAGAACAACATTCTTCACTGTCGTCCCTGACCTCACTGGCACATTTGCAGAACTAATACCTTTTCTGCTCTTTCATATTGTGCCACTGACGCTGATGTCAAAGGCAGTTCAAGATGGCCTTTTTTCCTGATTGCTGTACAGCGGGGCAGGCTGTGTAGTGCATCAACTTGTGGCCCGTGCAGAACTGTTTTTTTTCCCCTGAGCATAGTTTCCTCTAAGAATTGTTCAGCTTTTCAAGTGCAGAATTGACTCAGTCTTAAAGAACTGATTCAAATAAGAACCCTAACGTGATGTCACAGACAGCATACACACCCCTCGGCAGCTGAACAGTTTTTCTAAGACGGCAGAAGGCGTCACGCATACTAGACAAACTTCCTCAATCATGGCTGCAACCCATTTTTAAGGAGGAGACAGCTGGCTGTTAAACAGCTATATATGACACAACACATCCATAGTATATGCCAGTATTCTCCTATATTCTAAGAGAACAGTAGGGCTTAATTACAACATTCCAGACAGATTGTAGCCCTGGCATTCCAAAGACACAAAGTCAATCCAGCATGTAGAGACGCACAGGCCTTATCTCTGGTGTTCAGTCGAAGCAACAACACCTCGGTATTCCCAGAATACCTCAGTGCTGAAAAACACACAGCCCTGACGCATACCCGGGAGTCTTGACCGTGCTGTCCGCAGACACTGCCATTTTAATCTCAGCTGTTAACGGGCCAGGCCGTCAGGGACAGCTGAAGCCCAGTTCAAAATAATGGCGGCCAGTTTCGCGAAGAACCTGCCTGTTCACCGGCCCCTCACACCGGTCCCAGCTGCTGTCTCGTGAACACTCACATGGCCTCGTGTCGACAGCAGGCACTGGCGGCGTGCCTTGTCACAACCCCTCCACCACCTCCTGTCTCGCCAAGCAAGGAAACGTGTACCGTACCCTGCTCTGCTAGCTGATTCTAGTGTCCAAGTCTTGTGTTTGATAATGTGCTTCAAGGAAGACATGAACGACAACGAATCCTGAGGTTTCCTTAAGCCTTTCATGAGGGTTTTCCCAGAACCCTGCCAAATTCAGAACAGCAGTTCCCCTATCATTAAACTTCCTCTAAAATAAGGAGATAAGATTCCTTTATTGGCCACATACAATTTCTTGTATGAGGAATTTGTCTTTTCGCATACCCCAGCTTGCTCTCCATGAGACACACAGACAGGGAGAGAAGCTGGGGGTCAGAGCACAGGGTCAGCCATTTATACGGCGCCCCTGGAGCAGCTGGGGTGAAGGGCCTTGCTCAAGGGCCCAACAGAGTAGGATTCCTCTGTCGGCCGCGGGATTTGAACCAGCAACCTTCCGGCCACAGGCACAGATCCTGAGCCACAGAGCCACTGCTCTGCCCCGATGTGCAGTCTCTACATCCTTTTGCTCTTTTCAAGCTCTGACTCACACTTTCCTCTCTGATTTCTTTCTCTGTATCTGTTAGTCAAGCCTATTTCTGAGCCTTGAGTGATTTAAACAACAGTATACGGTTTAAATATCACGTGATTTGAGTTATAAGCAAGACAACACCTAACGCATCAATAAATATAAGCACTCTAGGTTACCTCACTGCATAAAGTAGCTACAACTTGCTAATTTCTTAGCAAGACCAAATCTTCTCATCAAAAGAGGAGCAAATTCATTGCGACATCACACAAAATTTAACCTATTGTAAAAAGGGCGATTTATATCACCTCTCAGCCATTTTCGTCACTCTGCTGTAGTAGATCTTTGTGATTCTCAGTTATCTCAAAATAAGAATAGCTATAAACAGTTTAAATAAGTTGTCTGGCCTCAATCGTCTATCAAGAAGTTTTGAAAGGTCAGATTTGCTCTGTGCTGCTGGGACAACACCAAACTAAAGAGTAAACAGCACTATAAAAAATCATTACAGATATCACAGCAGACCTGACGGTACAACACTTAATAAGACTTACTCGTGCTCAATCAAAGCCTACTGTTTGAGCAGGCCTTATTAACGATTAAATAACTGGGATTTGACATTAATCACGATGACTGAAACAAAAACACATTTCGGACAAGTTGTTACACTTGTTGTAACAGTTGAAAACATGAGACCTACAAAACTATCAATTTTTTTTTTAAATACGAGTAATTATGATCACCAACAGCAGGGGAAAAAAAAATAAAAAAATAAAATCGGGTTAAATTTACAATATGACGTGTGACACTTTTGTGAAGATTATTGATTACTTCCTAAAAGCTAAGATCGTATCGAAAAATGACCAAATCCGTACTGATTTGAGTGCACTACAGCCGGTTAACTAAACCTTTTCCAAATCATGCTGCGGGCTCTTTCCCTATTTTAATTATTACCGGCCGGTAGCGACAACAGACACCAGGGGCTCCCATCGAGACGGCGAGAGGCGGTCATGCCCTCACCCACGGTGGACTTGCAGGCTTCGCAGAAGGTGTCGTCCGTGAATCTCTCCATCAGGCTGGTCTTGCCGACGCCGCGGGAGCCGATAATGATGACCTGCAGCTTGTAGTCGGCCGGCCGGGGCGGCATCTTCCTCCGGCGGGACTGGGCGCCGGTCAGAGCCGGGGACCCGCCGAGGAAGACCCCGGTGTGCGCCCCGCCGCCGCCGCCTCTCCGCTGGATGTCGTTCCTGGGATCCATCACCAATCCCTCATCGGGCGGCCCTGCTGTTCCGAGGAGCCGACTCAGAGCCCAAGGCGCAACTTTTTTTCCTTACTCGTTCTCGTCGCCTGAGAGTTGCCGAAACTTTTTTTTCCCCTCTCTCTCTCCTGTTCCCAGTTGTTGTCCTGCAGTCGGCAAAAGGAAACGGCGCCTTACGTCATAGGCCAGAAAGTCGGGATCGGGGGAGGAATACAGGGTTGGCGACAGCAAACGGGAGGGAAGGGGAAAAAAAATGCTCCACCTGCAGGCAAGGAAGACCTGGATCAACGCGACGTCTATCCTACTGCACGGCAAAGCAAAGGGAGTTTCGCGTTTTCCTCCAAAAGTAGTGGGACTCTCAAGTCATAACAGTTCTTTTTTTTGTTCTATAGTCGAGAAATCTGGATGTGCGACGCATGTAACGTCAAAGACGAGTATATACGTGTCATAGTTGAATAATTCTCTGGGTAGACGTGGTTGTATTAGAACTAAGACGTGTGTTGTGCTCGGCCCAGTCATTATAATTTATACTTGTACAGTATGTACCCACTGTAAAAATACTGGTCTGTGAGAAAATATCACCGTGTCAAAGTCAATATTTGGTTGCATATCCCCTTGAGACAATACCTGCATGAAATCTGAGACCTACTGTATCAAGCTCACCAAACTATGACTGTAATCATCTGAGATGCTTTGCTGCAGGCAGGCAGAGTTCTTAACTCGTCTTGGTGTGTTTTTTTTTCTTCAGTACGTAAACTACTGGGTGGCACGATGGTGCAGTGGTTTGTCGCACTGGGGCCCCGCTTCAATTCCAGAGCGGGGCTCCTGTCTGCATACAGTTCGCATGTTCTCCCCATGTTTGCATGGGCTTCACCCCACACCACAGAGATGTGCTGGTAGCTTAATTGGCCCTGGTGTGTGTGTCTGTGTGTCTGCCCTTTGATGGACTGGCGTCCTGTCCACGGTGTACTGTGTCTTTCCCCCCTTGCTTGTGGCTCCAGCTCCTCCACGGTTTTGAACTGGAAGCAGTAGCTAGGAAATGGATGGATCCAAAGTGCTGCTCATTTGAATTTAAATCCGGAGATGGACTTTTCAACTGAGGCAGTTCTTAGCAGCTGTCCTGCATGCTCATGCTGTGACAGTACCTTCAACGAGCTTCAGGACCTGCTTCTGATTGCAAAGGAGGAGACAGGAGCGTTTTGGAACAAAGCTTTCGAGACCGATAAGACCAAGATAAACCTTTAGCAAGGAATGGGAAGATTCAAGAGTGGAGAAAGAAAATAACTTTGCAGGTACTCCAAACCACAGCACCTCACCTGCGAAGAAGGTAGGCAGAAAGAATTATTTTTGTACCCCTGGACCGTAAAGTCTGACCAAAAAATCTGGTGTTTCATTTCATTGGTAATGGCTGAAATGCAGCTACTGCATATAGACTCAACTGATTTGATCAAAGTGTGCCATTCAAAGTACACTTGAAGTGCAATAAAACTAAATACATCAAAAACCACAGTCATTTCACAACTCCTATGAACAAAATGAACCAGAATTCTAGACTCATAACTATTCAGACAATGGCTCTTATAACACTGAGTTTGAAATCCATATCTGGAGGTGGCTATAATCTTCTAATCAAACAGTTGGACAAAGCTCTGTGCTAATTCCCCAAGGTCACAAGAAATAAAACAAACTGCATCTTCAATTACATATTTGAATATTGAAAACAAATATTTGGCACAACAGAATACAGAGTCGCAGACACAAGTGTTTGGGGAAAAATACATAGAAAAAACACAAAGGAAGTGATCTTTATTTGTTGCCATAACTGTTCTATTGAAATATATAGATTAAGGCAGAGATACAGCTTTATAATAAAACATCAAATGATGTAACACGCATGCACTGAAAAAGAAAAGTATAAAAAACAAAGGAGGATTCTCCATAGTTTTTGCTGCAAAACTCCAAAACTCCTAAAAAGATGTGAAAAAGTATTGAGATGCCAATCATACTGTAGACAAATAACAAACTGTTGTGGAAAACACAAATAGAATCCAAAACAGTCTTCACTTTTCAATTGAATATAATAATGACTATAATACTATAATAACAGTAACTGATATAACCCTTGAGTATCACCTTCTGAGGTTCAGAATGGCATTCATTCAGATGTTTTTGTTGAACTGTAACTAATTGGGATTCCGCATTATGAGAGTGTTTGATATAGAGTCATTCCCACCTGTGTCTGTTCGTCATTGATGAATTGATCACCTTTGCTTCAACAGAAACAAGGGAACAAGCTCTTAATTAACAAGTTAAAGAGAATGTTCTACCTGTAGTAGCTTCCGTACAGTACAGTAGAACCAGAGGCTTACAGTCTGGTATTTGTGTAACCGGTAAAGGAAAAAATAATAAATCAGAAAAAAATAAATGTAACAGTTAAAGACATGAATGAAAACCTTAACATACAGGTGGGCCCCAGGATTAAGGGTTGGGAACTGCTGTTCCAGAAAATCTTACACAAGGATGGTTTTTCTCACTTGTGCCAGTAGATGTCAGCCGAACGTAAGTAAAGTGGTGAAGGAGCAAAGATTTTGTGGTTTACAGAGCAGAGCTCCATTAAACCTAGACTGAAAGAAAGTCTCCTGTTCTAAAAATGTTTCATAAAATATTCAGGCGTAATGCCACTTCAGCAATACTTGCATAATTTTCAAACGTAACAGATTTTTCCTTTAAAAAAAAACATGCTCTTATCCGTTGCTAAAAAGACATCACTGGTACCGACAAATAACATTCGTCCACAAAGTACTGACAAAGTCCCAACATGTAGTCTGATCAAAATCTGAAGTGCTTTGTATAAAATGTTGCTATTCTTTCAGTTTTTTTTTTTTTAAAATAAGCTATGCTATTTAGATCTATAATTCTATATATAACCTAATTCTTTTCAAAGCTGGGAGAGAGAACAAAAATCATGTTGATAAATCTTTCACAAAATTAATCATATTAATGTTTACCTGGAAAGGAAGTTTGTGATGTATTCTCTGAAGAATAAAATACAATGGACAAACTACACTTCATGTTGACTTTCACTGAGTTTTTTTACTTCTGATATTCAGAAACCGGAAACTTTAAACCACCACAAGCATGAGAGCCCAAAGAAACAAAAGCTTTGTTTACAACAGACAACAGACAGAAAAATTAAAAGATCAGGAATGATGAAATTGAGGAATAAACTGAAAATCTGGTGATTTACTGTATGCTGTAGTGGCAAATTAAAGACTGCTTTTCAAAACATTGGCACTTGTCAATGGATTGTGTTACTTCAACAATAATAAACTGAATTCCCTGGTAAATAGCATCTTGCAGACTTTAATGTACAGAAGAAGGTTTTTTGAACATTTCAGGGAGGTAGTGTTTTGAGGGAAGAAAAAAGTACTGAAGGACAAATGTTCAATCCACAAAGAACACAGACCAGTAGGGGGGTCTGGCCCCTGTTGTTTAAGCAGTGACTGGTATTTCATACAAAGCTAACTGTTCTTAGACATCCAGCAGCAAAACTGGCCCCTTTGTAACTGCAATGTTTTAATTTTCCTGAGCTTTTTAATCTTTTTACATTTGAAATATGTTTCATGAGATATCATGTCGTTATCTAAATCTATAATAGTTGCAAAAAATACAACATACACTAAATTGCATATTGCTAGTATGAAATTAAAAATGTTTATACATCACCACAATTAGCAAAAATATTCTTTTTTTGTAAAAAAAAAAAGCCATGGTCAACAGTTTAAATTTTTAAAAGTTTTTTGGAATTTTCAGTAAAGGCAATTCCACTATCAAAATTATCAGTTTTTGTGAAAACATGTTTTGATTAAATTGATTCAGATGTAAGTATTATTTGGGGATTTTACTGAAGTGTCCTGTTGTGTGTTTTAAAATAACACTTTGGCCCGGCAACGCAAAAAAAACAAACAAACATTTTTTTTTTCTATTTTCTTTTCACCAAACAGAAAGTAAATAATATGGGAATCTGTTCATGCTTTTATTTTATTTGTTCTTAATCTCTCACGACACACACAGGTAGGCAGCAGTGATGGAAGGGATCCTTTTTCCCACTGGCTTTTCGAGCATTGCGTGAAAAGAGAAGCAGATGGGTTTCTTCAGATTTCTTTTGAGAGACAATTGAATTATAAAATGTCAGTTGCAACATATTGCAAACACCTACAATTTCACAGGCTACTGTTTTTATCATTGGCAAAATTCCTTACTACCTTGTACTCAGATTTCTATTTAGTTTCTTTTTTTAAATCACAGGACTAACTTTTCAAAATATTGACTTAATATAGCCTAAAAAAATAAATTAATTAATAAAAAGTCCTCAATCAACGAAGGAGTTCTCTACCCTGCTCTCCGGACTCCTCTGCTTTGAGACAGGGGTACAGTGTGTCCTGAGCCAGCTGTCACTGGAGTTCTTTGAGGGGCCTTGTGGAGTTGAGGGATTAGGCAGGCTCAGGATAGTCAGGTCTTCTTAGGTTTGTAGTTGCGTCAGCGGAAGATATGCCTCTCCTTCCATAAGTACTGCTTCTTTATAACGTGCAGGTGGTCACATTCTGAACGGCTCAGATGGGTTCCAGTATCAGAGTTGTGCACTTGCAGGTCTTCATTCTTCCTGTCTGTCACCTCGCAGGAGTTGAAGTCATCTGAGTTGGTAAATGTGGTGATCATGAAACAGTATTGGTAATTGGGAATATACCGTATGAACAAATTTAGATTTGAACAATGATGCGTTCCTCCCATGTCTTAACGTCCCTTTGTTCACAAAATGCAGTTCATAACGGATGTTTGGGATCGAGGACAAAAACCAAGTTGAATCAGAGTCAGCTTTCAGTCATTAGCAATCGCTCATGACTCCTTTCCTCTCCTACTGTACGTTATCCCCTCCTCTCCCTCATGTACGTCTTTTTGTATCCCTCCTGCACCCCATCTCCCTCTCTGCAGCTGCCCCTGGGTCACCCCTCACCCCACAGGGGGTCCCAGCCTCCTCGTCCCCTGGCCAGAAGGTTAGCGTTCAGCCAAGCGGGTTCAGCCACATTTTCACTAAACACCCCATAATCCATTCAGGACACTTAATTCCTGAGTGTTGTTATTATTAGTGAAATAAATCAAAATCAAAATATACTCAAATACATCAATATTTTACCTTGGATGTGGATGTTTGTTTCTTCCCTGCATCTCAAATCTAATTCAGATGAAACATTTTAAGAAAACCTGTTCTAATGTGTCTAATAAACACCCTTAATTTGGTCATTTAATGTGCAAATAGAAGCATACAGTAACTGCAGTAAATATTTAATCCTGTAAACCTAACCCTATACTGGTCTAAAATGGATACTCATGTTAAATGGCATTTTAACAGCATATTTCACCTGGTTGAAAATTTGACTAAAGGAGATAGACTATTGAAGGACATTGATTTCCAACACCTTTTATCAATGCTTTTGATTATTTGATTAGGCTTATATTTGTTGGTTTGGGGAACATTTTCAAATGTGATGACCGCAGGGCCTCAGAGACACATTACAGAACTCATCTGTTGAAACTCCAGCTAGGGTAAGGGTTAGCATCCCACGTTACTTAGAGATTTTTTATGCTCAGCGCTGGGTTTTGGGGCCCAAGTCAGGTTTAGGACGAGTGATAATTCGGTTCTATCTTA